AACCGGACTTTTCGTCAGGTTCGAGTCCGGTTCAAGCTCGAACCGAACCAGACTCGAACTGAACCAGACTTTTTTTCAGAACCCTACATGAATAATACATAATTTAATCAGATAATGACTGAATTAATCAATCTGGTAAATGCTATTCAAGTACAAATCAACACTGCTTCACCAACAAGAAAAGTATCCTTTACAAAAATTGTTAATTTCTATAGAGATATCAAAGATCCTATTGGATAATTACAAGATTTTGAAAATGCATGCCAAGCTAATAATATATTCAATATTAGAAAAAGATAAATTATTAATGTATATTTAAAAGATTCTGCCAGAACATGATTAGCCAACAAAAAAACCACTGTTGCTGATTGATCAACTCAATGGAATTCAAATAATATCAATAATTATATTGATCAAGCTGCCTCCTTTACATATCAATTCAAATAAATATTCAGAACTGTTGATAAACTCTATAAATGACAACAATAATTAAATTAATGCAAGCAATTATCAATTGAAATAGTAGAACAATACTCAACTGTTGTTAAAGAATTATTTCATTATATTGATTCTGATAATAAATATCCAGAATATCTTAAAGTAATAATATTCATTGAAGATTTAAAACCAGAAATTAAATTCTTTATTAGTTCAACTAGATCAGCTACCTTGGATGAAGCTATTCATACTGCTCAATTATATGGATCAAGTTGAAGGATTAAATCCTATCATTGTGATATCAAATACCACAAGTTTGATAAATATTCTAATATCTCAGTCACCAGTTGAAAATAATATAGTTTAATTCTTACAACAATTAGAAATCTTGACAACAAAATTAGAAAACTTGTCAATATCTGATAACTAAAATCAAAATCAGAATAAACTAACAATAATAAAAATTATTCAAATAACTAAAGAAGAAACTATAACAATAACAATAATAATAACTATCAACAGCTTGTTATAATTATGAAAAAATTGAATATATTACTGTTAATTGTTGAAGCAAAAGAGATAATAATTATAATTAACAAAATAATAATAATTCTTTGAAAAGTTAAACAATAATTTTTGAAAAAATTGCATACTTATTTTGTCCAGAAATTTCCCACACCATATAAGCATATTTACACATTTTTATTTGTAAATGTAAAACCACAACAATACAATAATAAAAATCTAAATTTGACAATAGCGAAATAGCTTGATCAAATCTACATAACGGTATTCACACTTATCCAAATATCGATCGGCGGTGCTTTTTAGTTCTTTGAGTGAATCATTTTTATCGAATATCTTGGAGTAATAAAGTAATTGAGTGTAGAGCATCTTGTCTGAATACTATTATTATTATTATTATTATTATTATTATTATTATATGTAGTATACAATAATCAATATCAGACAAAGCGAACAGATTGAAATTATACAGAAACAAACAAGGCAAACTTACTTCTTCAGTCATTGCACCTGGGCAACCAGAAATCTGGCATTTTAAATTAATCGTCTTTGTTCGATATTGACATGCCATTTCATCGCATACAAACCAGCCATCGTAATATCGTTGGATATGACTTTTAATTTGACGATTTATTTGGGCAACCAGTGATGGCATCTGAAGAGTACGTTTGCATTCTTGATTTCCACAAGAAATGCCTGATGCAGCGAGATCGCTTCCCTATGATAATGGCAATAAAATTTAATTTGATTAGATCAAAAAATAAGAGATTTCGAGTAATAACATCCATTACATTGGATTCAAATATAAATCGCGATTTGCAGTATCTACAAATTGGCTGGAACTTTTCTACATCGGCAAATCTTTCTTCATTCTTAAATTTGTCTTCATAAGATGAAGAGTAATTTCCAGACCGAAACTTTTGTGTCTCCAATCCTTCATGAAAAAATTATTAGTTTTTATAAAAAGAAAAAATCTAGATATTCGAAATAATCAAGCGTACATACCTAAACTAGCTGCTATTCTTACGCTGTCTGTTCCTTCAAGAGGTTCACATAATCTCGTGACACATGGATGGATTTGTGTATTCAAGTACCATTCAGAATCTAATCATTGTCAAAGACAATATCAATCTAACTGGGAAAAGTAAATTATTCAAAAACATAGTTTTCTTACCTATTTTTAAAGATTCACAATTTTTTATTTCGTCGGGATGATAGGCTCGACTGGCAAAATTATCGTTTTTATTTGATTCATTCGCTTTGCAAATTATGTAGGGAATTGTTTCACCTACACGAGCACTTTGGTTATTTTTCATCCTTCGAAGGGCAACTTGAACATGCGGCTGGGCTTTGGTATCGGCGTATTCTGTTGGATTTTTGGTCAGATTCTATTTTTATAAAATTATTAGTAATTAATATGAGATGGAAAATATCGGTAAAGACAAGTGCTACATGTATACCTTGTTAATGATAAATTTCTCGAGGGGATATGCTTCTGAACGCGTCTGTTCAGCTACATATGTAAGATACTTGTGAATATTTTCTAAGATTTCTTCACGATCGGAAAACGATAGAATCTGATCCAAGGCATATCTAGTAAGGACGAAAACACCAATACGTCGTTATTTAGAATTAACTTTAAACACGATATTAAATAAAAAAAACATCAAACGTTCAAAAAGAAAAAATCTCACTTTGAAACATCTTGCGCTAATTCACACCAGTCTCTTCTAACCAAATCAAGTCCTTTCATTTCTGGCTTTCTAATCAGCTTGCCGTTTTTTGTTTCGACAACAATTGCAGCATATTTTTTCTTTTTAAGTAAAAGCAAACGTTCATACACCGCGTCCAAATCGATCTCTATTAGCTTGTATCGTTGATTAATTTTTTTCTTTAGATTATAACCCAACTCGCGAGCTTTATCCAGGTCCGTCTCATTAGTATTAATCATAATAGAGTCCGTGTCGCCATAAATAACCTTTATCCATCAAATAATAATATTACGTTAGATTTTCGACAGAATTGGGAGAAACTATAAAAATACATACATCCATTTGTTCACTTTCAGCAAAATCGCGAGTATTTTGTAAAATTTCTCGACCTTTCGAGGTAATCAACATGGCAAGTTCTTTGGCGTAAAATCTCGAATGCGTAAAACCCAAGCAACCGTACATACTATTGGCTGTGAGCTTGAGAGCTTGTTGACGAATATCAAACTAGCAATTAAATATTAAAATTATATATAGAAAGCGGTTTATTAATATGAAAAAAAAATACAAATTTTATTGCGTACTTGAGTACGTTGAGTTTCTGATATATTAGGATCTTTCATAAGACGCTTCACTCCTTTTCGCCTTTCCACCAGATATGCCAATAATTTTGGAAGAATCCCCCGAGGTACATTCGAATCTGGAATTTCTGTGTTCTCGTCTGATTCTTCCTAAATTATGTAAAATATAAATATTGATGATTGGTATAATCATTCAGGTGTTAAAAGATCATTATCAATCTAAAAAAAAATTCACCAAAGACTCGAGTTTATTAGTAGTGAAGCATATGTTGTACTCTTGAATGATGGAGGGATATAAACTATTGAAGTCCAGCATAAGCACGTATTTATCGTAAAGTCTTGTTTTTGGATCAAAAACAAGAGCACCTGAATAGGCTGGCTTTCTTCTGCTGCTAGTATTTCCTAATGCATATTTCAAATTCAATATTAGATAAGCAAATATATGTTTTTCATTTGAGCTTCATCAATTAAGTATCATTATTGACCCACCATTCAAATTCTCTTGATTGTTTTCCCGTCCTTTATAATGCTTATCTGGACAAATATACTTATTTTTATGAAATTCATGAAGTAAGAGATATTCATTACGTTCAGCCCTCGATCCAGTAAGAGTTTTAGACCTAAAATAAAAAGAATAATTTACCTCAATATTATGATCGCTTCTAAAGTATATTGCTGTAATCAAATCCGAAGTAAAAAACCATACCATAGATTGCCAGCTTCCGTAGTCAATTCTTTAGTAAGTGGCAATATTTGCAATTTAAACATTAATTGACAAGTTATCTGCGCATCTTTCTGGCAGCTGAAAATCAATTCGGTTAAAGAATCGGTTGACGAAAAATACGTATCCACTTTTGCAAAATCGATTTCTTTGCGCTCGATATGGAGTTGACTAGACGCAAGGTCTGTCAATGTATAATTTTTCGATTTTATTTTGAGTTCCTAATAATATGAATCGGTTGATATAAATAAGTATAGCATTGGGATAATTATTCAACTTAGATTACATACTCTTGCATTCAGATACGTATCACAGATTAAACGTCCACTAACAACAGCTTTTTCATCATAAGTCGATTCACTCATGCCACCAGCGCCCGATTGTAACTTGGGCCATCTGTTTTAAAGTTGATCGATCTTAGTTTCTTATAAAATTCTTGAATTGATCGTAAAGAACGCGAATGATACCAACATCGATCTATGTAATCTACCGATTTTTGACCATTCTTGCACTTTATGTTCTTTCATTCGGTGTAACAAAATATCCAAATCAAAACCAATAAAGTTGTGCCCGATCAAGACATCCGGATCTGTTCTTGCAATTATTGCTGGAATGTGAATAACTTTATATTAACACTTATTTATAGATCATTAGATCAGAAAAAACGAGTCAAATAAAACACGTAAAATACCTAATAAATAATTTAAAATCGATTTTTCAGTTTGCAAAATTTCAATAGTCATCTTTTTTTGGCGTATCCTTTCGTGAAATCTCAAAGGATATTGTGTTATTGGTCTAATCGCTGTATATTGGTTTCGAGGCAAATTATGGTCTGAAAGGTTATCTTCGATGGATACTATAAAGGTGTTTGAAATTTCAAAAAAAGAATCAATCTTAAATCAACGTTTGTTATAATGACTAAATAAATAATAATATGGAATAAAGAATTACCATTAGGGTAAATCAACAAGCTTGCCAAAACAATTTCATTGACTTTTTTTTGACGATTCAATACTGTCTTTAGACTGATGCTCATGATTGTCAGCGGAGGCACTTTTTTTGGAGAAGTTTGATCCATTCCTTTTAACGGATTGATAAGCTTTGGATCCATAATAACAGCCTCTATTCGGCAATAGGACTCCTATAAGCAAATAACTTCAATATTATTTCAATCAACAATCCAACTGCATTCTTTTTTTTTTCTCAAAATTTTACCTTATTCTTTTTAAAGTTGGGATTTTGGATTTCTAGCCAGCAAGGACCCATTATTTTACGTTTTATAATGAATAATTCTAAAGGATTTCTATTGACTCCAAATAGGTGACTAAATGTCTCGCCACTCAAGTTAGCCGGCAACTCAGGTACTGCGATAACGTAAATGATTAGTCAACGATATAAATATAAATATAAATATAAATATAAATATATTCTATTTAAAATACTTACGAGAGAAAGAATAGATGACTTTTAGATAATTAGTGTTAGAGGGAACATCAGCCAGTTCAAAGCAGTATTTGCGCGAGACTTCTTTGGATGCCCATGTCGTAATCCTGTAGCTTTGTAAGATTTTTTCTAATTCCACTTTAACATCATTCATGACAACTACAATGTCGGTGATTTTGCCATTTACTGTAAACAAAAAGAAAAAAAAAGAATGGTTCAATGATATTTTTTTAAAAAAAAGTATCAATTGAATAATCTGTTTAATTTCCCTACCAACTCGATGAGGTCTTGGTAGAACAAAAAAACTACGTTCAAGTCCACGAACAGTCACCGAACAACTGAGGTATTCATTAGTTTTTTTGTTTAGTATCTAAATTATTTGGAGCAAATTAGCCTTTTGAGATGTTAAATGAATTAATTAAAAATTATCATTAAATTACTTTTCCAAACAGAAAAACGACACCATTTTTTGTTGTCTGAAATGCGTCAAACCAGTACATCCTTAACGTTCCGTTTGGCTCAAGACAATCCGAATAATCACTTAAACCAGTTTGAGGGGTGTATGATGTTTTATTTTCATTTATTTCAAGACAATCTGAATAATCACTCAAACCAGTTTGAGTGATGGATGCTGTTTGATTTTCATTTATTTCCCTTGTATCTTCTTCCATCTGACTTTCTTCTACTTCTACTATCATCTCATCATCTTTTTGTACCCCAGTGTCGTTTTGATCACAGAGACCAAGATTATGAATTTCATTTAGTTCCTTTGTATCTTCTTCCATAATATGACTTTCTTCTACTTCTACTATCACTTCGTCATCTTTTTGTACGCCAACGTCGTTTTGATTACAGAGATCAAAATTATATTGTCCATCATCATCTCCACCCTCTGCTGATTTTAAATACAGCTCGAATGTTTTCTTCTCGTCTTTTTGTACGCCAATGTCATCCTCATCCAAATAATTGAAAACATCTTCAAGGATTTGGTCACCCTCATCCTTTAATATTATGCAAAAAAGGGAAAAAATAAAATTAACTTTTTTTTAGTAGTTAAAAGTTTGAAAAAACATCCTACATCATTGTCTGCACGCTTGTTCTCTACTTTAAAAATTGGACCAGCTGGTTTGCTTCTTGTGAGATTGTTGTTGGCCAAGAAAAATGTTTCAATTTTTCTGGTTGGTTCTTGTTTCCTTTTCTCACTATTGTTACTTCTTTTGCGTTTACTTCCAGCTGAATCGTATAAAGCATAAAATATAAATACGCGTTAAATTGAATTAAAGGAAAATTTATCATATGGAGCAGAAAAGGGTTACACGAAATTATATTCAAATGCAGAGTTATAACATGCCTTGTTTAGGAGAATCATTTTCTGATTGTTGTTGTTCATCAGAAAACGACTGTTCAACCTCTTCCATGCCATAATCTACATATCCTCGCCCATCATCATCAACAACAAACTCTTCTTCGGAATTTTGTTCGTCAAGTCGCGCTTTATATTCATCCTCACCAATTTCATCATAAATATCTTGTTCGTCAACCTTTTAAGAGGAGGAATTGAAGTTTATTTTATGATTTGAAGAATTTTTTTTGACAACGAACACTCGATTTTCAGATTTCATCTTTGAGAATGTTTTGTTTCTTTGCGTGTTCGGATGTTTGGCCGTTTGTGCGTGTTCGAATGTTCCACCATGTTCGTATTTTGGTTATTTTCGTATTTTTTTGTGCTTGGTTGTGTTCGTATGTTGTTCGTATTTTTGGCTGTTGTCTTTCTTGATTTACAATAAACCCAGATAAAATTATTTTATTACCTGATACTGTTCAAGACGCGAGCCACGAGCATTTCTTTGTTGACGAAAAGCATCGAAATGGTTCACTTTGCTTTTTTTTTGAGAACGTCGGTGTGAGCTAGACATTTTCTTAAAGTGAGACGCGTCGTTTACTAAAAACGCGATGATTTTTGTTAAGATCAAGTTATCCAATTATTGTTAAAGTACCCTCTTTTTAAAGTACCCTCCCCCCTTTTTAAGGGTTGAATCAACATCTGATTGTCGATTTTTCTTTTTTGGCTGTGTAACAAGGAAAAAATCTTTCGAGTTTTGTTAAGCAAAAATAATCCAATTTTTCGAATTTCGGCTATATTTTACTCTTCTACTAAACTCTTCAAAATGAGCGATACTCTAGCACTTCGAGGCACGCTTGAAGGTATTTTGATTATAATTTACTTTGTTTCTTTTTTTTCAGGAGAATTCAATTTTCTTTCTTTCATTTCTCTGTGAAAAGGTCATTCCAACTGGGTTACTGCAATAGGTACTTCATATGCATCTAAAAGCTATAATATATCATTGAAGCATATCATATGAGCATTGAGCCCTGTCAAATTTGGAGAGTTTTAAAAGCCATAATAGCCCAAAGTATCTTTTTATTCTTGACTCATTTTTGTAGCTACCACATCTGAAAATCCGGATATGATTTTGTCCGCCTCTCGTGGTATGTGTAAAATAGTATGGATTTTACATATAGATAATAATTGCAGGATTAGCATTTTGAAATTCATCTTAATTTCGCAATTCACCACGTTCAATTAGATAAGACTATTATAGTTTGGCAGTTGACTCGAGATGAAACCAATTATGGAGTGCCGCGTAAAGCTCTAACTGGTCATAATCATTTTGTGCAAGATGTGGTGATCTCTTCTGACGGACAATTTGCTTTGTCTGCATCTTGGGATAAGACTCTTCGTCTATGGGATTTGAACACTGGAACTACCACGCGTCGATTTGTTGGACACGAAAAAGATGTGCTTTCAGTATCTTTTTCGCCTGATAATCGACAAATTGTGTCCGGATCAAGGGACAAAACTATTAAATTATGGAACACTTTGGGGGAGTGTAAATTCAATATTCAGGAAGACGGGCATTCCGAGTGGGTTTCTTGTGTGAGATTTTCACCGAATCCATCTAATCCTGTTATCGTCTCTTGTGGTTGGGATAAGCTTGTTAAGGTAAGCATTTTTTCATTTGGCTAACTATTACAACTTTCCTTTATTCCATAATTAATAATTCATAATTTATATTGGTGATTTGTAATATATCATATAAAATAATATATCGTATAAAAAATAGGTTTGGGAATTGACAAAATGCAAACTTAGAACCAATCATATCGGACATACAGGCTATATCAATACAGTCACTATCTCTCCGGACGGTTCGTTATGTGCTTCCGGGGGGAAGGACAGCATCACTATGTTGTGGGATCTTAACGAAGGGAAACATTTATACTCTTTGGACGCTGGTGATATTATCAATGCACTGGTGTTTAGTCCAAATCGTTATTGGCTTTGTGCTGCCACTTCGTCCTATATCAGAATTTGGGACCTTGAAACAAAAGTTGTGGTGGATGATTTAACGGCAGCTTACGAAAATCAAAGAGACAATAAAAAGGATCAACATCAGTGCATCTCACTTGCTTGGTCCCCTGATGGTACTACTTTGTTTGCTGGTTATACTGGTAAGAGGATTTTTAGTATCTTTTTTTTAATATTGGCGTTATCTCGTGCTAATTTTTTACTTTTTTTTTTATTGTGTTAGATAATAAAATTCGAGTATGGCAGGTTACTAGAGTTTAGCATGTAATTAATTAATTAATTAATAATAACATCATCATAGATGAAAATACTATTCTATCATTATTGTTGTGTTGGGTATTTGCTTTCTTTTTTTTTTGATAGAACAAAAATTATCATTGTAGTTTTTAGGGAAAAATAACATGCGTGAAATTTTGAGTTACATAAATTATAATTAACCCATCAAAAATTAATATACGAGTCATTAAGTTATCGATCAAGTAATTCTGGCCGACATCAACATGCTGAACTCTGAACTAAGTTGAAATTTGAAGGTGGATTTTATTAGACGGATCTGTTTCCATGTTTTAAATAAAAGATCTATCAATAGATCTGTAAATTTTTGTTTAGATATACAGATTCCTCTATATAAATATATTTTTTGTTAGTAACATTCATTATTTCAAGTGAAAAAAATCTGGAATTCACAATAATGGATCTCGGATCCTATAACGATAATGATGAGCCCATTACAACAACTATAACTTCTGAGTTAGAAAGACACTGAACTAGAAAAGTGTTGCAGGGCGTAATTAACGTAATTGACACTCTTGAATCAGTATGATCTCCCAGTACAGTCACATCTTCTCCGAGTCAGGGCGATACATAACATACTGAAGAAGCATTACAATGGTTACTGGCCAGCATAGCATTGATCTCTCTGTTCTCTATACAATCAAACCCAATACACAATCATAAAAAGTCTAACTGAACCTTACTGAATGGATCAAGCTCTCCTGCGAAGCGACATTGAAGGTTTAAAAACTCGTAATGCAACCAGTTTTTGTATCCTTCGAAGTAAGAGATAAGAGCATTATAACCTATGCTCATATTAACCTAGTGTAAATTGTAGAACTTGGAAGCCAAAAAGTTTATTGATGACACACGTAAAGCTTAGGCTCATGTGACCAATTTTACAAAAGACGCGTAATCTTTCCGATTTATATATGTCACCGCGACGTTTACCCGGACGCGTTTTATATTTGCCTAATTTCACATTCAAGTATTCACAAGGATACAATATAAGATACTCGTCCTTTTTTATAAAAAATAACACGAGTCTTCTTTACAGCGCGTTTCTTTGTTTCAACATTTTAAAAGACTTACTCGTCAGTGTTAATAATACCAATAATACCACGACCAGTTATTACGAAATGCCAAAATTCAAAAGAAAGAATTTTTATGCAGTTGTTAAAGGTTATAATTCTGGATTATATAATTCTTGGGACGAATGCCAAAAACAAGTACAAGGTTTTCCCGGGTGCATCTTCAAAGGATTCGACAAGAAGGAAGAAGCCGAAACCTTTCTGAATGAAAATTTAAACCAAAATACTGATCGTGATTATGCCATAAATTCCATTTTGAAACAGCAGACTCCTCAACAGCAAAAGCAACAACATTTATCACCACCACCATCATCCCCAGTACAACAATCGATACTTCCATACGGTGAACAATTCCTTCCTTCTGAACAACTATGGCAGCGACAACATCCAGGAGATTATCATAGTCAAAAAACTCAACCTGTTCAATACAGGCAAGAAAATACATCGATTGATCATTCTACATATAGTAATGATAGACCCCAAGTTCGTGCTGAAAATGCAGCAATCCTGCAAGAAAAAAATACTGCCAATAACACTAATCACACAGCAGTCGCCTCACACTTCAATAATAACACAAAAGTCGCATCTCATTATCTCAATAAGACGGGCGGGAGTGATGTTGTTGCTCCTAAGGAAAGATGGTCGGACGAAGAGGATTGGGAACCGATCTCAAAACAACGTGTATTAAAAGTGAAAAAGGGTTTTAATAATGCTGAAAGTTCTATTGTTCCACAAAAGAATACTACATTTCAAACAACCAAATCATTAAATGTCGATCAATCGAATGCTGAATTTGATCCTTACGGAGAAGATGAGACTTCAAACAAATGGTCTGACGAAGAGGACTGGGATCCTACCATAAAACAACAGATCATTGAAGCGAAAAAACATCACGATCCACATCATCTCAATACAATAGCGCAATCTTCGTCTATCGATGACATCGAACTGACAGGCGAACAAACTCATGTATTGAATCTTGTAATAAACAGTCAGGAGAGTATATTTTATACTGGTTCAGCAGGTTAGTCGTAATTATTTTAATTATACTTGATAGATATAAATATATTTTTTTAATGCTTCACCAAATAAATAATAGGGACCGGCAAATCCATTTTACTTCAAAGAATAATTAAAGAAGTTAAACGATTACATGGACCAGAAAGTATTGCGGTGACTGCGCCAACGGGTATCGCTGCAGTAAATGTCGGCGGCATGACAATTCATTCTTTTTCTGGGGTCGGAACTGGCGATGATAAAGTTGAAAATTTATTGAAAAAAATTAAAAGACGGGCAACGGTCCAAGATAGATGGAAGGAAATAAAAGTTTTAGTCATCGACGAGGGTATGTGTAATAATTCATATTTTGTATAGAAATACTTATCAAAAAATAATTGTTTTTTGTATAGTATCAATGTTAGATGGAGCTCTTTTTGATAAGTTAGAGTTGATTGCAAGAGATCTACGTCAAAGTCAAAACCCATTTGGTGGTATTCAGGTGTGAATTATTATTTCATTTTAATTCAATTCAATTTTTCGTCTTAATATCTTTATTTTTCAACATAGGTTATAATAACGGGTGACTTTTATCAACTTCCTCCGGTATCGAAAGGTGGAGAATATAAATTTTGTTTCCAAGCTAATTCCTGGCAACGAGTTGTTAAGCATTCACTACTACTGACGAGAATCTTCCGACAAAAAGATAACGGTAACTAGTTTACCGATGCTATTAAGTAAAGTTTTCTATTTTTGATCTCTTTTTCTAATATTTATTGGATATTTTAGAATTAATTAATATGTTGAACGAAATGAGACATGGTGGAAATCTGTCAAATCAATCCATGGCTCTTATTAAAAGACTGCAAATGACTCCGCAGTATCCTCCTGACGGAATTCTGCCGACTGAACTGTAATTTTTTATAAAATGGTTTTTTTCCCATTAAGTTATAATATTTATTTATAATTTATTATTCACAGATATGCACGTAATGAATCTGTCAACAAAGCCAATCAATCTCACCTCGACAGAATCCCATATAAGGCACAAGTATATCTAGCCGAAGATTTTACAATGCAAAGTGACTCGGTACAACTAGCAACCTTGAAAAAAAGCTGTCTAGCGTACGACCATTTAGAATTAAAACGCAACGCTCAGGTTATGCTTATAAAGAATCTAAACAAAGACTTGGTAAATGGGAGTCGTGGGATTGTAATCGGGTTTCATGATGCGCAGACTAATTCACATTATTTCAATGGAGAGGAAGAGAAATTGCCTCCAGGTACAGCGGTGTATCCAATTGTACGATTTACCAATAAAATTGAACAGGTGATTGATAAAGCAATATGGACACTGGAGGGTGTAGGTGGAATCGAATTGGCTAGGAGAAGACAGGTAGAGTTTAAATTTCTCTCAACTTTTGTAGATAAAAGTAAATTTAATTTAATCCTGAATAAATGCAACACAATAAATAGGTCCCATTGGTTCTTGCGTGGGCCATCAGTATCCACAAAAGCCAAGGGCAGACCTTGGACAGAGTTAAAGTCGATTTGGGCCGGGTCTTTGAAAAAGGTATAATTTTCTTTATGAAGTTATTGAAGTTTCTTATTAATAATAATACTTGTATTCTCAATTTCTTTAAACAGGCCAGGCCTACGTCGCTTTATCTCGGGCCACTTCTGTCAATTCGCTTCAAGTACTAAACTTCCGTAAAGATCTTGTAATGGCTCATAAAAAGGTCGCGGAATATTACGCCTCTTTAACCACGTTCTCATGAGTGAATGTTAATCATTAAAAAATTATCAATCAAAAAATTCTTGTTTGTATTCATCCATCACATGTTGATAAAATAGTTCTGTAGTAATATGAGTGGGTTAGTAATTCTCGGATGTTTTTTTTAATAAATCTTTTTGTAAATGAAACATTGTTTCTTTACATGCGAATTTTACTTATTTAAGATTATGTATGACACAGCAGGTTATTATATACGTTAAATTTTAAAATAAACAGATAAATATATTTTGAAATTAGATACAAATTCAATCTAAAAGCGATGACGACCCATTGATAAAATTTCTTTGTTGTGATTGCTGGGAAGATTGTTGAGCAGTGTTCGACGTTTGCATTATAGATTGTTGATGATAAGTAGTATTAGTTTGTTGTGGAGGACGAGACGGTGGAAGTGGTGGTGGTGTTGGTTGGTAATACCCTAATCCTTGTGAGGTTTGTGAATAATATTGCTGCTGTTGTGGGGTAGGATGGTATTGAGATGTTTGAACTTGAGGTGGAGGATTATTAAACCCTTGTGATAGTTGATGCGAATTGTAATATTGATTCAATGGTGGTTGTTGCTGCAAGGGTGGTGGTGGTATGGTAGAATACTGTGGCTGATGTTGAAGAGGCCTTTGCGGTGTCACTGAAGGTGGTTGTTGCAATTGAGAATGATTATTTTGAGGGGGCAACGAGTAATTTTCATAAGTAGGTGGACGTTGCATTGATTGAAACGGTTGTTGTAATACTGGTGTTTGATTATAACGTAGAGTGGTAGGTGAAGGTGGCTGTTGCTGTGGTTGGGATAATGCTGAATGTGGTAAATTAACTCCGTATAAACTTGAAGGCCTCGAAAGAGGATGTGGGGTAGATTCGGTTACTTCTTGTTGAATTTGTGGGGGAGGAATTGCTGTATGATTATATGAAGGTTGAGGACGCTGATTTAAAGATTGTTGTGCTATTTGTTGCGGTGGTGGTGGCTGATTTACAAAATGTGCTTGTGAAGGTTGTCCATTTGGCACAGATGATGATAGAGGTGTTACTTGTTGAAACTGAGACTGTGGTCCTAGTTGGAATGAGAGGTGTTGTTGCGTTGGTTGGTATGGATTATTATATCCGCCACTTATTTGCTGCTGCTGTTGCGGCGGCGGCTGCTGTTGTTGTTGTTGCGGCGGCGGCGGCTGCTGCTGCTGCTGCTGCTGTTGATAGCCAGTTGGCAATGGTGGCACAGGTGGTGGTGCTTGAAAACTAGGTGCAGTAGGTTGAGTAGGTGCAGTAGGTGCAATAGGTGCAGTAGGAGAAGTAGGGGTGTGATAAGTAAATTGCGAATTCGTAGGATTAATAGTAGTTAACGGAGGTTGTGATGAAAGAGAAGATTGTCGAGTAAGAGAAGTTGAATAATAATTAGGTGTGTTATTCGGAGGTGGGACGCTTTGTTGAAGAATAGAGGTTGAAGGAGTAGTATTATAAGAGGGCACGTATTGGTTCGTTGGAATATTGGCCGAAGACGAATTTTTACGGAAATAAGCCCCATCATTTGATTGGTTAGATTGTTGAATTTGAGAATTAGTAGTTAGCGGTAATGATCCTAAATTCACGTTTTTAGCTTGACCCGAACTAATACTATTGCTAATTGATAGACGATTAGTCCCTTCCACCAATTTTCCTATATCGTCATAAGGATTAGGTTGTTCGCTAGAGTCTAAGGAGGAAGAAGTGGTTTTTAATTGGTTCAATAATTTGTTTGCTCTTTGTGCCTCTTGATTTTCTATCTGTTGGATCAATTCATTACGTTCTTCTTGACGTTTCTTTGCAAATTGGTGTGCCGTCTTGGAAAGGTTTTCAATCAAATCCGCGAGATCAACGTAAAATTGAATTCCTTTACTATTAATTAATAGAAAATAATTAAATTTATTACATATACATGAATTTCATCTGTTTATGATTATTACGATTATACCTTAATCCTTCTTTTACTTCGAGATACCTATCTTTGGCTTTTTTGAATCTTTCGCAAACTTCTTTTCTTTTTCGTTCGATTTGTTCCCATCGACTTTGCAAAGCTCTTGCCTCATTTCCTTCCATTAAATTTTTGTAAAATCCAGTCAATTCTTGTAAAAGAGCCTGCTGATGATGAATACTTGCTGTAATACGATTACGATATGGAGTGAACTTTTCGAGCTCAGTAGCAAATAATTGTGGCTCGATATTTTGAGTTTTTTTATTTAGTATAAGAAGATGTGATATATCATCTTGATGTGTCTATTGTCAACAGAGAAAAAAAGTCAAGACTCTAGAACAATTGAAAAAAAAACTGCATGATTAATTACCTTTTCTTTTAGATCACTTAATGTATCCATTCTTTCTTTTTTCACTTTATGAAGGTTACCTATACACTCTTCTATTCTTTGGGCTTTAACTGGGATTCCTTCCTCAGATCCAGATGTTTCCACGTCAAGTAAACTTTCGTTATTAGTAACTATTGAATTTCCGCCAACATTATTATTAAGCCCAGCAGAAGTAAGCGTTTCAGCAAAAACTCTTTCCAAATCTTCGCCTTTTCCGCTAGATAACAACGTTATAACATCCTTGGACACTTGTTCATACTGATGATAAATATGACGGTCAGAACTAGCTGCTTTTTCAAGAGATTCTCGATGATTTTTCATATCTTGACGAAGTGAAGCAGTGGATTGTCCAGACGGAGATTGAGTCCATGCATCACCATATTTAACCTAATTATGATTTAAATATACGTCATTGATATTTATATACATAAAGATATAGATATTACTCGATTTTTACAACTTACACGAAGTAATTCACATTCTTTTTGTTCCGTGTCAAGTATTAATGTGACTCCATCTAAAAGTTCTTCGGCTCTGGTTTTCAATCCATCTAAGGTTATCATTAGTTCTTTTATTGAACCTTTTTGCAATTCTTCCTCTTGAATTAATAAAGCCCATTGCTTCACTTCAATCGTGGGTGCAGCGAGTTCATCGAAAGATCTAGCACTGCTGGTATTTTTGAATTTTTCTAAAGCTCCCGGCAATTTCATATATTCCAGGGCAGCTTCCAATTCTCCATTGGCAATATCACAACGTTCAGTTTCACTACGCACAATTTTTGCTTTTTCTTCAGAATATAGGGATGCTGATTCATGCACTGATAAAGGTATAAGACGCTCAAATATATCTGGGCCGATAACCTTTTGAATTTCGTTAGGAGCATAAAGATCTTTTATAGGCATAGGTTTAACAGCATTCAGCGTTTCAATTGAAGGTATGACGCTTTCCTGAGGCACAGCTTCATGATATACAATATCATTATCACGCGTCGCCGAGACTTTTTTTTCCGTTATTAGTGCCAGGTTAGATTTGCATATCTCCTGCAAAGTGATAGCTGCATCTGCCGAGAGAGTTGGACTTGCCGATGAAGAGAAAGCTGACGAAAATCCGGTAGATAATTTATTTGCTTCCTTAGCTAGTGATTCAGCAATTTGAAGTCGTCCAACACTTTCACCATATTTAGCCTCTGCTTCACATGCTAAAGCCTTTTGATACTGGGCAATTGAAACAAGATATTTATGCTTGATCTATTTTATTGGGTTAACGCATATAATATGAATATTATAATTGATTAATAAAGTAATTAACTCGCCAGTTTAAGTTTATTAAAATTCCAATTTACCTGACAAACAGTATGCCAACTTTTATCGAAAACATTTCTAAATACGAGATCACCCATATTTTCTGCAATATTCCCATATGACCAGCCAGCTTGAGCCGCTAACTTGGCAACTAAGGCTGGTTTTTTCTTTGTCCCAAAACTTTGCTCCAGAAAGCATTCTTGAGCTTGCGCCAACATTAATTGAGAGAGTAGCTTAACTGTGTCTCGACTCAAATCTGTTGAGGGAGCATGCAAAAAATTGTCATTGATGTATGTAAACATTCCAGCTGATGCTTGAAAGAAATTAAATGCTCGTTTCAATCCTTCATTTTCAGAACGATTCTGCGAGGCAGCAATCGCCGATAATACAGCAGCTATGTTGAATATTGTACTAGCTTTTTCGTATGCGAGTGAAAATTGAGAGGTAGGCTTTAAGGTAAAAGCATCGTACCTTTTGAGATAGCAAGAAATTTATAGAATAACAACAAAAAAAAACTTGAAAAATACGACAAGACGATTTAATCATTTACCAAGTAAAAGAGACCCTTATGTGATTCTCGTCAACAGGAAATCGAAGGTCAAGTAATTCTAGTTGTCCATAATATCGATAGAGCAAATCTCGACCAGTAATGTCCTTTCCAGCACCACGCATATCTTGTCTAAGACGATGAATGGCGTTTGTTTCATCAGCATATTTGTCTGGATCCTCTTGATAAGTTGTTTGAATGTAACGCTTTAAAGGATTTGCCCAGTCTACTTCGTCTGTTCTTTTTATAGGTACATGAATGCTTGGACTTTGATTCATACTTGTATATTACACTTTGATACTTTTTATACTTTATATTTTAAGAGTCTATTTGTGCTCATGAGCAAGTTGCTCACAAATTACAGTATAAAGATTTATATAGATTTTTTTATTCTTTTCCAAGAAATAACGAATGATTATGGAAATACATTTTATAATATTTCTGAGGTGTGTAGTAGTCTCCTGCAATTTGATAGTCATCTGATTGACTATTTTTATATATATTAAATTATATGACTCAATTAAGTAATTATTTAACATTCATCGTCGTGCGTTCCGTTCGAAATTGGGCACTCGATGATGATTGATTTGACCGGGATGAGATGCAATGTGTGATCCGAAAGATGGCTATCGAAATTATTTGAAGTTAGATCAAACTTTCAAGGACATCAATCAGATACTATGTTAATTACCTGCCAAGCCCGATGATGTGGCATTCCAAGATGACCCTATAACAGAAGAATCACCTTTAGGTTTTCGTTAAATCTTTGTAATATCTATCTATAAAGAATGGACAACATACCTGAAAAGTGGGTTGGAAAAGACTATATTGTCCATGATGACCCTCATACTCACCCGCGTGAGAAATAATTCGAGAATATTCGCGTGGAGGTAATTCACGAACCTAACTCATTATTAATGTTATTAATGATAATAAATAAGGTCAATACTATCTTTTTTATAATAAAGTTTATTACTTACCAAACGCGGTCGTTCAATTTCGGAGGATAACATTTGTCCGCGAGCACGAATACCCCTAAAGATTTATGTGAAAATTTATTTATTCCTTCTAAAATTAAGGCGTACAGGCAGCCACTAATATACCTTTCGGCTCTTTGCGCTCTGCTCAAAGTCTCGTAAGGCTTATATCTATCGGCGATAGACTCTGGACGCCGCAATTTTTCTCGATGATCTTTTTTGATTTTCGAGTCAATAATAATTTCAGGGGTGGTGTCTGTTTCTTCAGGGAGGGTTTCAAATAATTCACATAGCTTGTTTCCAATAGTTGAAGGTAACTCCTGAAAATAATAAAAAAAATTGAGCGAATAAATTAAGAATTCAATTTGCCACTGGTTATAGTTTAACCGGTATAATAAATTAGGTATGGGTTAATACTGGGGGGGGGGGGTGATTAATGGTTATAATTAACCAGTGGCATAAAAATAAAAATGTCCTAAATTAAGTAGAAACTATAAATAAATAACAAAATTTAAATTAATGCTTACTTGTCCATCACGACTAATCTTAACAGGTTTGCCCTCGTTCCAAGGATTTCGAATATGTCCCGTTCTATCGAATGGTAGATCCCGGCTAAATCAGAAGGATAAACAATTATTAGTCTCATCATCGTTGGAAAAATCATGTGAATAGTTTAAGCTTACATTTTGATCCATCGAACATGAAAATTTCCTCCGAGATTTGCTTCGTTAATTCTCAACCAAGAGGCGTGCTTAGCTGTACCAATATCTGAGGTCATGATGCAATAACCTTTGGTGGATAAACATTAAAGTGGTGTTAAAAATATTCGAATACAAGAATAAGCGTACCGTAAAAAATTTATTTTCTACCTTGAAAATGTCGGCTTTCATTCACAGAAAAAATAAGAAAGACGCGTTCGCTTGTCTATTATTAGAAGAAAGCATTTAATATCGAGATATAAATCAGAAATGCCAAGATTTTATATCTATACCTGAAACGCCTCACTTAAAATATCAGCATTGCCAGGTTGTGTTGCCCAAATTCCCTAAAGAGAAGAAAGTAATTTAATCAAAAAAGAATTTATAATATACCTTGCTAGATTTATAATATATTTAATATTTACGTCAGCTTGAGATTTTAGAACGTTTTCATAATTATGACTTTTGATAATAAAATATCGGGATTCTGCTTTGATGCTTGGCCTCAAAAAACTGGTTACTAAAATCAAAAATAATGACTTTTAGCAACCAGTAAAAAACACATTAACTATATTAATATCTAATCTTACCATGATGATGACGTGAATCGAAAGTTGTTATATTCGATGAAAGAGTTTGATTTTTTTCGAAAGAATCTATTTTTTTGATTAAATTTAAAAAATTAATGATTAAAAAAGAGAAAATTTAACTTCAATGATATTTACCTTGAGAAATAATATTAGCCTTCTGTGAGCGTTGATTCCCTTCGTTTAAGGCAGTAGATTCGCTCTCTTTTTTACGGATTTTATCATTATCTTTTACGATAATTTCTTTTTTGTCATTAGGTAAATTAAGATGTTCTCTTCGATCATATGGATTTAATTTGTGATTTTTAGCTGTTATATTTTGAGCCTTAACTTCGTCAAAGGTGGTCGAACTTCGACCCTTTTCGATTTTGTCAGCTTTGCCTCGTAGATGACCATTATCCAGTTCTTTTTCACGTGAAACCTCTTCAGGTCGGGGATGGGTTTTCTTCGAAGTATCACTTGGGATGTGTCCGGATGTTTTGATGTTCTTTTGCCGCGAATCCTTTGTTGTGAAAAAAGACAGGTTTTTGTTGGGAACAGAATTTTTTTGTTGGAAGAAAAAGTGCTCGTATTATAGAAACTTATAGTCGAATGTCCAAATGACTGTGGTTATGCGCCCTCCTTTAGCGTCCCACAAGTATTTTACGAAAACCTTAATCCTAATCAGTCAGTAGTGCTAACGATTTTTCTTTTTTTATCGCATCAAATGTCTCACATATAAAGAAACCTCAGCAAGAATTATCCAAAAATTGTCCATGACAAGCAAGCATGCAAAATAATCAAATGAAAAACAACCAGAATTTGATAATATAAAATGTCCAAGATGGGTTTCCCAATACGAGCAATAGTCCATCATTATGAAAATATTAAATAAAATAGCTTCAGATGAAGCCGAGGTTAAGAAACGGAAAAGTGGCCCTATGCCTACCTTTAGGATTGCGTCATTACTAGATCTTGAACTATGCAAATTTATGCTCGAATGTATAGTTCCAATTTCCTCCTTGGCCAATGTTTTTGGCGGATTTTTAGTAATTTCATAATTATCAAAAGTGCTTTGCTTTTGTGATCGATCCTTATGTCCATTTTCGATTTCCCGTTTATCCGATGAGACGATTTTTCCGGAAGAACTACTTAGGGGAAGAGGAATAACAGATCTATCGATTCGAGCTTTTTGATTATCTTCAAATCGAAAAATTCGGCCTCGAGTAAAATTTTCATGGGCGCGAGCACGATGATTGATTGAAATGTGAGAAGTATTTTCTCGAACTCGCGAATAATCATTGGATGAATAACGTTTAGATCGTGAGGAACCATCGAGTGTCTGCGAAGTGCGAAAGCGGTCAACATCGAGCTGATCCTGTCTGCTTGAAGTGTGTCTTGGTTTATGTGCTTCACGTTGGGATGCTTCAGCATCTTTTTTGGTAAGTCCAACTTGAGGTTTTGCACTTTGCCTTGCTCTCTTTGATTGCCGGGAGCTTCTTGGCTCAGCTTCGTCATCAGACTCGGCCTTGCGTCTTCTACGATCCTCTTCCGTAGATTTCTTACTTACCTCATTTGATGATTGGGTAAGTGTAATGGGTTTGTCTTTTTTATTAATAATTAGTACGTCTTTTTTGCCATCCCCTAAATTTTTAGTATTGATTTGTGCGTCCTTCTTGTTATTCTCTAAACCTTTAATAACGACCGGTGTTTCTTTTTTATTATCCTCCATGACCGAGGTTGTCATGTCTTCGAAATCATCTAGTTTTTCATGGTATGACTCATCATCTAGTTCGTAGTCAACAACGTCCTCGTCAGCCAACAACTCAGCCAAGACGTTCTCGTGTTCTGGCATAATTTTTTCTTTACTCATATTACGTCAATATCAAAATGAAAATTTTTGAATGTGTTAGAAATATTTCTTCTGTTGAAATAATTTGCAAAGAAAATTTTTCTTCACTGTCAAAAAATGATAACTGAAATCCCGAATGAATCAAGAGTCAAGCATAGTGCAGATCATTCTTTTTGATAAAACCGACAATCATTTCCAAATTTCTTTATTGAAGTTGGTTACGCCTCTATTTCCGCCACACCGCTTATCTTATTTTCCAATTCCGAATTCTGGACATTCAATTCCGTAACTGGGTTACTATTGTTATTATTAATATGCAAAATATTTGGAACATTGATTAATTTATTTGAAATAGTTTGTGCAACTAGATTTGTTCGATTTACAAATTGCTTCAAATAATGACATTCAATATTTTGACAATGCAAAGGAATTTTTATATGAACTTTAAATGTAAAAAAAAATACGTCATTTAATAGTTTTTTGATAAGTACTGTCAAGTAAAGTTATATTTTTTATTGAGAAAATACAATGTATTTTCTAAAAATTAATTACACTTATAATAAATCTGACCAATCATATTCAATTTTATAAGTAATGATATGCAAATTTCCATATTAGTATAATTTTATTGAATAATACAGTTATTTTGATTAATAATAAAAATTCATTTTCATTCAATAAATTGTATAGTGGGGAACCAGCATAAAACATCTACTTTATCTTCTGCCAAGCTTTATAACTTAGAAAAGCAAAACATATAAACAAAATAATTTAGTTAAATAATATTTATCTAAATTATAATTTGGCTAAAGTAATTTATTATTACATGTCTCTGTCACAAGTTATAATTATAAAATTGGTTATATTAAATCTTATTGGTAGCATTACTTGTATTTTTATATAATACAAAATATTATAATTAATAAAATATCTCAAAATTTTGATCATTTAACTTAAAATCAAACTGAAAGAATTTGAATTTTATTAATTATCAATAGATTTATATTATTATTATAATATTATTGATTCTCTTCTAATTATATAAAAAGCTAATTATATTATAATTAATAATCTTATTCTATATTAAAGTACCAATAGCAAATAATAAATATATTAAAAGAATTACATGATTAATAATTTAAGATAATAATAAACTAAACATAGAATAATGAGAAAGAAAAATAAATAAATAAAAAGAATGTGTTTAGCTTAAAAATATAATTAAAATATCATTATGACTAATTTCATATAACTGCACTTTTTATTATATTAAATTGGTGACAATATATAATTTACAAAGAGAAATCAATAAAAATATAAATTTAAAATATGCTAGTTATTACAACTTAAATATTCTATAATATAGTTATTTTATCAATAATTAATCACTTTTATTATATTTAACATTTTTAATAATTTAATTTAATTAAATTAATTAATTTATTATATTTTTATTGAATAAATTTGAAATTATGTAACTATTATATTTAACATGTGATTTAAATATGTGATTTTATATGTAATTTATTATTATAATTCAAGTAATTTTATAATTACATAATTTTTATTATTTTTAAAAAACTCTAAAAATATTATAAATTCTATAGTCTTTATAATTTTTATATATAAATTAATTAGCTGAATTTTATATTTTATTATTTTATATAATTTATTATAAATATAATATTTATTAGTGAAAAATATTTATTATAAACACAGCTAGTCTTGTAATTGTAAAAAAACAAGTTGTAATCAATTAGATTCAATATACAATAAATAAAATATCTTTAATAAAATATTTATTATTTGATTGTCTTTATTAAATCTTATAGACAAATAAATTAATTATATATAATTACATTATAATTAAATTTTTCTATAATCATCATTATCAAAAAAGCAAAATTTGATAACTATAAAAGGAATATAACTATAAAGTAATTTTTTTACTATATTTTTGTATAAATAAAAAAGCAAAATAGAGTGACTATAGAAAGATATAACTATAACAGATATAATTATAGAGAAATTTGAATATATTATATTGTATACTACTGAATATTCAATCAAATTACTATAGAATATCAGTACTATATTGCTATAAGACTAAAGATGATTGCTAAAACCAAATTATTTCAGTTTTGCTGAAATTGAAATAATTTTGATATTAATATTTTAAAAACTGAATTGTCAAATTGATAAATTAAACTAAATTATTTCAGCTTTGCTAAAACTGAAATAATTTTGATATTAAAACTGAATTATTAAATTGATAAATAATAATCAATTAAATTATATTTATTGATTATATTTATTGATTGTCTATTTATTACTATATATATATACTATTATTTAATAATTATCTATTTTTTAACAATTATCTATTCTTTAATAATTATCAATTATTTATCATCTTTTAATATTATTATAACAAGTGAATAAGATTTCATTTTCAAAAAGAATATAAATCAGATTGTAAATCTAATGATATTTGAAAATATTTTATTAAAGTTTCTTTAAAATTATCACCTAGTCATTTTCTGCAGAATGTAAATTTTGTAATAAAAAATGAAATCAGAGTTTTATTTATATTCTTTAATTTCATCTTGCAAATGAATATAATACTTGTTCTGAAATTATTTAAATATATTATCTTGAATTTATTATAGTTAAAGATACATTGACTTCAGAAAAAACCACATCAAATAAAAAATAAAAAACAGGAATTGATAATTTTTATGAAAACTGAAATCCAAAATAAATATCATTTACAAAACTTTTATTAAAGCTTTTATTTGTTGTAATATCTCATTTGTCATTATCAATAATCTTTTTTTTGAGAATTTCTTTATTAATTATGACCAAATTATAATTTTCCTTCACATAAATTACTTACTGACTGACTTTTAAATCAAGAAACTACTCATATAAATCAAGAAATAAATAAGAAACTAGAAAATTTAACTCTCAGTAAGTTATTTTATTAAAATAAAAAATTTTATAATTTAAATTTTATTTTAAAATTTAGTTTTTTATAGCTTTAGATAGTTGAATGATAGTAAACACTATTTTAATATACAACTTTATTATTTTGATATCTGAATGATATTAATATTTATATTATCTTCATGACTTTTCAGTATTACATTATACTGGAGAATTTCTAGTTAATAAAATAAAAACAATTTTAAATAAGATTGAACTGAAAAAATTGTTATTGATAATGGAGCAAATATAAAACTAACTCATAAATTAATCATTAAAAAATATCTTCAAATTTTAAATTTGTATTATATTGCTCATTTTATTAATTTAATTACAAACTTAATACTCAGTAAGTAAATAATATTTATTATTATATTTTTATATTAATTTTTATTAATTATTAAAATATAAAAAAACTATAAATTTATTTTCAATTCGTAATAATATTATAAAATTCTTTAAATAATTACATATTAGTCACTATTTATTAACTGAAACAGCAACAAATTTAAAAATTGAAGAAAGTGAACTTAAATCATTTATTAAAACAAGATAGGTTTCAATATATAAAGCTATATCTTTAATTATACAAATGCAACATGTATTAAAAAAGATATAATTTTTATTTATTAATATAATTAATAATAAAATTAAACTTTTTTATTTTTATAATTAAAAAATAATATTTAATAAATCTGATAAAATTACAAATAAAATTGTAAAATAATATTTAAAAAAGCATATATTTTATATTGAAGTTATAACTTTATTAAAAATTCTTTAACCAATTAAAACAATTATTTTGATAATAAAAGAAGAACAAACCAATCTAGCTAATACTTTTATTCAAATAATTCAGTTAGAATACATACTTAAAAAATTAATGAATATTAATACTAATATGATCCAATTCTGATAACATATCATCCAGACTTTCAATAAAAAATGAGAAAAGTTTGATATATCAATTTATTTATTGATATATTTTTATATCTTATTTATCATAATAATATATTTTTATTATTTTTATTTTATTTAAATAAATTTAAAAATATAATTAATATTATATTATATAATAGATATAGGATTATAAAAGAGTAAATATTCATTAATTTTAAATATTACTAGAAAAATATGGTACTGTCTCAGCAAAGATCAAAAATCATATAAAATATTATTTGATTAAATACAATTATATAAATTAAATATAATACCTTATAATATAATATATAATTTATCAATTAATATATCTAGAATTTAATGATTTATTATAGATAATAAATATGATTATTTATAATAACTTGCTTTATAAATATTAGGTATTATATCTCATAGTGCTGAATAAAGATGATTTCCTAAATTATTTTTAGAAAAAATAATATTTTAGCAAATAATTCAGTTTTGTTATATCATTTATACTTAAAAATCACCTAAAAATGCTTGTTTTAGTTTGTAGAATTCAAATAATTTTGAAAAATAATTTTAGCTACTAATAAAATAAGTCAAAATAATTTCAGATTTAATTTTGATAAGTTAATTTTGGCAAATTATTTAATTAGATAACGTCATTTTGATAATTATCCATAGTGTTAAATGTGAATATATATTTTTTACTCTCAGTTAAATTTATAGCAAATGATAATTATAATTATCTACTACAAAAGTTAAAGCAATAGTTAAAATTTAATTATTTTATATTATAAATATTAATAAAAAAGTAAAATATATAAATTAAACTTATAATACACAAGAATTAAAAATTATAATAAAAAAATTAATGAATAATATAAAGAAAAAAATTAAAGACAATAATAATAAAAGTAATGAAAATGAAGAAGAATATAAATAAATAGAAATTCCAAAACAAAATGTATTTATATTAATTAAAAATATATTTGATTTAAATTCAATATTATTTCATCAGCAAATTTCTGATACGGTTGGAAATTGATTGCCAACCATATTCATTGGCAATCAATTACCAATACCTCCACTGATTATTATCGATTATTGATCAATCGATAATAATCAGTTTT